ATAGCATGCGCGTCACTCATGTATTTTTTTGTTCAGATGGACGCATCTAGTCAGTCGGGTAGCCGTGCGCCAAGTACAGGACCAGCAGCTAGTGCCGCTTCACCGGATAGTAGTTCACGGATGAGTGCTGGCGCAGACGTCGCCGAGCAGCAGCGTCCCGGATCGGCTGTCTTACGAACACCAGCGGCCACACCGACACCTGGACCACATCCAGTGCCACAACCTTCTACAAGGTTCGCTTTTATTATCTATTATTCTAGGTTTCCCTTATTTAAAATTGTGCTTTTATCGATTCACTTTTCTTGACTTCGTAACGGCCTTTCAAATGTCTTTTTAAGTTTGCTTGCCTTTAACCAGATAAATACAGATCATGCACTTAATCATGTATCTGCTTGAATGGTGCACATCAGTAGGTAACATTATTGATCAACTGTTTGTACTGTAGCTAGAAACAAAAATTCCCATATGAGCAGTCTTGTAATGAAGCATCAAATTTGAAAACTATAACAGATTCTTAACAATTTAAGTGTTGAATTTTGTGGTTTTCTATGTGATAATGGATGCTGTAATCACGTAACTGTTAAGATTCTTGTTTCAAAATGCAATTTTATCTTGCCTTATTGCAAACATATTTCTGCCCCGTTTGCGCATGTGCATTTGTAGCTGCAGCAAAAGCGCTTCCTATCCGTTTATGTAAAAGACGATGACAGGCGTTTGTATGCAGAACGTGCTTACGTGGCGATGGCGGACGGCAACGCACGTTTATTGTGGGAAGAGATGGCGCAGGGCTCCGCGATTCCCGCCGCCGATCGCTCATCGCCATCGGCCGGTGCCGACTCGTCGTCGGCCGTCATCGACCATCGGCTTTTGAACTGCCATCAGCCGTAGAGTTCATTCAGCTTCTGCCTGCGCAAAATCCATCCTCCGTCTCATTTTTGCATAGTGTCCTTCGTGTCATCGACGATTCGGACGAGTTGTCCGTCTCCGTCTTTCTCTCTCT